ATGTATTTATATATATCCATCTATTTTAGCATCCACATAGGCTCAGTGAACTCAGTGAGTTATCTGTATGCTGAAAATTATGGACCTTAGTGCAGAAGATCAGGCCATTAGACAATAACTCATCGCAGCATGGGGTGTCTGGTTTAACATCGATGTGCAGAAGTTCCATCACTTGTACTGCTATTAATAAATGTCAGGAATGAATTGTGGTCTTCTGTCAGCTAGCAGTGAGCATTGCAGTGTGATGGTTTCTTATGTAATCACAGGTACTGCTGCATGGGGCTGACAGCATGGGATGGTGTTCACATCCCTCCTAGCAGTTGTAGCTAGATGGTTTGCATGCACTTGGACACACTTCACATGGACATATCTGTGTTGCCAAGTCTGTGGTGTCCTTGCTGAAGGTAATGAGGTTACACAGACCTTGGGCATCAGTGTCTATTACTTGTTTAACCTTCCTGAAGAGGGCAATTACACCACGTCCCTGTACAGAGCAGTGACCTCTGTCCTCACCCTCCCGTAATTGAGACAGGGAATGGTTCTGAGTCTGATTGCCAGAGTTGGGAGCTAGGTAGGGTCATGGGATTGAAAGTGAAAGGCAAGGATCAGCAATTTAGAGGTAGTTATTAATATGCTGATTTGCTGTCACTTGAGTCTAAAGAGACTTCTAACAATTGCTTGCCTTTTGCATGCTCTTCAAAATGCTGATTTTTTTTTTCCATAGAAATCTAATTGCATTTTAATAAGATTATTCTTTATTTCCAGGTGGTTGCCAACCCATCCCTTGCTTCCATACAGTATTGTAGTTAAAACCCCCAAATCATGTGTATTCATGCAGAGTTACACCCCAGTAAATCCTTTAACTGTAAGGAAACAGAGTTCTTTTCCCCTTTCTCTTCATGCACTCCTAGGCACATTAAGTGCTGGCAACAAGGAAAAATATGTGCAGCCTCAAAAACCTGAATTATTTAGTAATCGTCATAAAATAATATCACAGGTTGTTCAAGTTAAATAATAAAATCTGAGTTAAATAATTTCATCTTCAGTAGCATTATACTATGTGTGGACTTGCCTGAAATCAGAGAGCCTAATGTGACTAAACTCTTGCGACCAAATTCAGTTCCTTACTCTGTCTCTGAGTTTATTTCTTTAATCAAGTCACGACCTACCTTTGCTTTGTTTAACCTACACTGTAGGATATAAATAGCCTATAATCTTGGAGATTTTGTGAGAATTAATTATTATTAATGAAATGAAAGGTTCCATGATGTGCAGGCTATTTTTATTTATTATAATTGCTTATTAGTAATTCACTCAAACTTTAGCAGGTTTTATCTTAGGCTTCCTGTGGCTCAGATTTATACATTACTTTTGTTCTCCATCATGGCTATGTAGTGCTAATATCCACCCTGAAAAAGTGATCACTGCAGGCCAAAAAAGGACAATGGACAGAGAGTTGGAAAGCATAAGGGGTAGCACAATATTTAGGGAGCTCAGAACAGACCTGGTATTTACACCTTGCTGCAAAAGCATTTAGCTGCAGCATCTGCTGCTCAGCCAGTGCAGAGCTCACCACTCTCTATGGGAAAACTGCTCACAAAGTCATTCCCTTCATCCAAAACATGGAAAAGATGACAGCTTTG